TGAAATGGCACAGCTGAAAGAGAATCCTTAATGTGGACAGACGGCTCTTTACATGCCAATTCCAAAAAAAAAAAAAAAAAAAAAGCAAAGTACAGCTGTGCCTAGCACATTGTGCCTATTTCTCTGATGGTTCTAGTTTGGAATCCAGTCCATAATAGTCCACTGTGAGGCCAAAAAGCCTGACAGTGAAGGAGTGAACCAGGCAGCCCCTAAATCCCACCCCTGACCCCTGGAGAGATTCAGCAACCTTCTTTAATATGCTACGTGGAGATGCAACCAGGCATTCTGCAAACCATTTGGCTTCCAAAGACAAACCCATCTCATAGCTTGTGGATAGTCTGTGCATTTTATATGAGAAAACGATTTTAGGCAGAACATGGCAATGAATGGAACTATGGAAGAATTCTCATTTCCCATGTTTGGAATTAGAGTCAGAATCAGAACTGATGGTTAAGTCCCATAACAAATAATGTACAATATGAGAGTCTGGATTTTACGTCCCCGAAGATTGCCACTTAGTGCTGTCCTCTAGTCTAGCCAAGGACCGTTGAGATTTCCTCCTCCAGGACTAAGCTGTAAATTCAGCCTCTCTACTTTCCATGAAAATGCAGTGGGAAATTATAATCGGAGATGTTGACCCCCGTATGGCGTGTGATACGTGTCAGTACAGAGAAGGGATATACATCTGGCTTGGTTTTCCACGAGAAAACTTTATTTTCCTTTCCTTGCATGGGGGAACAAATGATGTCTAGTGGTTTATAGAACAAAAGGCAATACTTGCCTTATTATTTAAACAGTGAAGATTGAGGTAAACATTCTCTGTCTCTCTTTAACAGTCTTTTCCTAACATTTCCCCTTTCTTCTAGAAAACCCAAGCCGTGAAGCAACATTTCAAATGTCTCCCCACAAACCAAACTCTACGAAATACTTTGGCCTGAAGCTAGCACAGCTCTCTCAGTACATTCGGGGTTCACCGAGGACTTACTCTATCTGACATGGTTAGATGTACATGGATACAGCTCCTTAATCACAGCAATATGAAACGAAATGTGAACATAGCATGTGCATACCTCCATGTGCCTGACACTGACATTCTTGGCCTTTGCTAAGTTTTTTTTTTTTTTGCTTTGCATGACTAGACCTTCTTATTAATACTCCGAAAAACACGGTTTCAAGGTGTGGAACTTCTCTTTGTGATACAATAAAAGCATTTCTTTGTATGTGCCTTATGCTACTTGTCTCAAAATTAGCTTTGAAAATGAAGTGCTTTCCAGAGAACAATCATATAAATAAAGATTAATAGAAAAAGATCTTGTCCCGAGGAGCGTGGTTTCGTTATTCACAGTCTCTGCTCGTGTACGCCTGAACTCAGTCTGTCTGCTGCCAAGGCTGACTCCTCGGCGGTACTTTCCTGTCCTCGTCGGGATGGATGTTTTCTGTTGCACTGATTATTCGGTCCACATTTTCAAACCGCTCTGATCGTCTAGTCACACCGTGTTTTGTACTGTACGCGTGGCTGTGCCCATCATCGTGGAAGCCTTATCTGCCTGTGACTCCACCGCCCACTTGTGTAGGGACGATGGTGAGGACAGGGACATTTGCAGCCTGGTGCCCTTTACACATCTCTGAGCTGAAGGGAGTGGCTGCTCTGTTTCTCCCGTGTTGACTGATTTGTAGCCGTGGCTGCGGAGCCGGGGACTGTGATTTTGCCACCGGATGGCCGGGAGCGTGTGCTCACCAACAGCTGGTCCAGCCCCAGTGACGTGCACACGAGGTAGGTTGACGGCGTTTCTCCGCGCACCTGCCCCACCTCAGCTCACCACAGCTGTCTTTTCTTTCTTGTAAGATTTTGCATGTGTGCTCTTCCTCGTGTTTTTCCTGCAGCAAGCGTTGCTTCTGTATTGTCTCCCCGCCGTGCTGTGTCCCTGTTTTATAATGACTGTGGCAATTCAACTTGGAGCGGCCATCAACTTTTCCCCCTGCCTGTTTGTGTCATCTGGGAATGTATTCTACGGTTGCAGGAGTCGTGTGGCTCTCACGAACTCTAGAAGACAGCTCTTTTCTTGTTACCCTAGTAACAAAAAGAGGCATTTTGAATAGAATTAGGTTATTTTGTTCCAAATCATTGAACTTTAAAAACATTTCTCTCTTTGCTAAAAATCAGGTAAAAGAGTATAGTAAAATGGAAATTTATATAATTA